CTGTATCATCTGACGCTTTCTGCATCAAACTTATTTCCCAAAACTTTGTTTTACTGTGACATGGGGGTTGCTACTAGGAGCAACTCAATGAAACCCATATCCTGGATGAGTGTTTAACCAGCCCTTGGTACATATGACTACCAAGGAATTGAAACCTTGTCTTACATTTTAAAATTTAAATGACTTTTGGCTTAAATTTCAAAACAGGCAAGTTTTTGGAAGTGCAGTTCATCTGTCGATGAGTTCATCACTGCTCAACTGGCAAAGAACGTTCCATCCACGCAGGTTATATGTCTAATATCTTCTGAATTCCTCATCAGCCATTTTACTATAACTGTTGTACAAGTAAGCAAATCACTTTATTTAATCTATCAACTGATTGTTCAGGTACCAAAAAATCTTCCTAACCTGGCTTCTCTGGCCAAGTGAATTTTAGGTATTCATCTATGTATTACCTTTCAACTTTAGCTGGCAAATGCTGTCTCCTTTCTATTGAGTGGAAAGGAAATACAGCCACAACAAGAAACAATAAAAACTTGAGCAACCTTAAACCATTCTTCTCCACAGGGAAAATTTCTCGTGTGTGCATGCTTGGATTTAACAGTCATCAAGTAAAATGTCCCATTTTTCATTCATTTTTTTTTTTAAACAAAAATCCTCTCCAGAACGTAAAAACAGCTACCTAACTGTTAGATTTCAGAAAGCAGAGATCAAAATAGCATGATCATCAGTCAATTGGTGATCTTATTTGTAAATGCAAGTCGTATTGCGGTAATTGTTTTGGTAAATAAACTAAGCTATTACACTGCCAACAGCAACAGAAAGCGTTATGGTTTGGAATAGGGACAAGAGGTTGAAGATGAATCGATTGAATATTATTCACGGTATCAACAATATCTGTACACAAGCCTACTGACAGCAAACAAGGAAACTAAACATTTACAATTGATGAACTAGATACAGAGCATTGAAGCTGATTTACTGAATATGTGATTGCTGCGATGTTGCTCTGATCCCGTGATTGATTGGCTAGTATTGCTGGATTGTCGAACTTGATTTCTTCCCTTCATAGAACTCACTTAAGAACTTGGTAAAAGCCGGGCATTGTACATGTTATCAAGAAATAGACGTGCATTAGGCTCCGTAGAAGACCTTTGCTATTTGGTAAACCAATGCCTAAACAAACAAGATAAACAAGTTTCCCCCGACCTATTCACCGAAGGAGAAAAACACTTCGCTTGTCACTGAAAATTTAAAGCCAATCACAGATTAAGGGCAGCCAAGTTGAGGTCAAACTCAAAGGTAATATTGCTGTGGCAAAACCCTATGTTAAGTCCCCAAACTTATATTAAAATTTTAATTAAGTCCGTCAACTTTTATTGAAACAAATAACCCCTAAACTTGACTATTTGGGTAATTTAACCTTCTTTTTTTTTTTATAAGTAGACTTAACGCCCATTGTGCCTTACTTACATCTAGAACATCAATATTCACCTTGCAACTAATGATATGTCAATACTTTACCAATGAAGGCATCATGAAATATTAAATTTGCCATAAAGAAAGAAAAAAAAGATTAAATTACTTCAATTACCAAGTTTAAAAATGAATTTATTTTAATAAAATAAAAAAAATTAATTAAAAATTTAAAATAAATTTAAAGACTTAATACAAGGTTTTATCTATTGTTGTTATTTGTGTCAATCTAGAGTCTCATAATGACAGATGCAGTAGTTTCGGCACAATTCTAGTAATATGACTATTTCAAACATCAATCCATTCTTAACTTAACGTGTTAAATCAATTCATAATAGCTAAAATAACTTTTGTCACATATTTGTTTATTATATCTTTAATATAAATGTTTTCACTCAACA